AGATAATATGATCAAACCTGGCTGAGACTCCATTATTATGTCAAGATTGAACAACATATTTGAAATTGCTTTAAAATCTTAGCTACTACTTAGATAAATTTTATTATTTTCATTATTATTATTAATTATCACCATTTGGAGCTATAAAAATCCTAGATAGGTTTCAGCACTGATGATACACTGTAGCATAAATAAAGCCAATTCTGTGTGTGTTTCAACCTCAAGCATATTTTCTAACAGAAAATTTTTTCAATAATAGAAAAATGTGGTTTAATGACAACTGAGGTGTTAGGCTAACTTTAATGAAGGGTTTAATAACACTTTTTCATTTATTGACAAAGAGAATTGCTGTCTGTTGTGCTGTTCAATATGATAGTGGGATGTTACATAGTATTCCCCTTGCAATACTGAAAATGCTGGAAAGTAGTAGACAGAACACATTTGCCATTTCAGCTGATCTTTGCTCTGAAGGAAGGGATACTATTAGACTCTAGGTGGGAAACATGGACCAGGAAGTAACCAAAATTTGCTTGGTGGAGGTAGGAGAGGCTTGCCTGGTCACCTTGAATATTTTTGAAAAGTACTTTTGGAATTCACTTCCTGAAATTAACTTCTTTTATGAAAAAAATTCAAGGTTTCCATTTTCTTCTCTACTGAGCAATGTTATGTAACTCTTGTTTATTATCTAGATGTCTTCATTTTCTCCCTTGGAGGAAGAGAAGAAGCCTAAACAGAATGATATCACCCAAATATCTACACCAAATGGTTGTAACTTGTTTTCTTTTGTGTGCAGAAATAGTGTACTTTGTGTCTTTGGGAAATAATTTGAGTTTTGCATATGATATTAGAGAGCCAAGTGTTCAGAGTATGTTGATATTGTACTGAGTACAGAAAGTAGCATCACACTGAAAAACACAGTTTTAGAGCTAATGTTAGATATCTGAGATGTCACAAGACAAGGATAGCCTGGGAGATATAGATTCACAGTGGGAAAGGTTCCAAAGTCTCAAATTCATAGAGACAATCTAACATGGCAGAGTATGCTGGAGGTGAGAAGGTAGAACGTAGGGAAAATGAAAGGCAGTGTCATCCTCAACAGACTGAAGAGAAGGAAGAGCAGAAAAATAAACTGCTGTTTGGAGGACTGCCAAGTGACAATGTCTCAATGTCTGTGGTGGGCTTTTGTGTGTGTGTGTGGGTCTATGAGATGTATGATGTTTAAGGCAATGGTGAGGTTTTGGGAGAGCCATGCGTGATTAGTGTTCTATGCAGGTGTCAAGACGAACAGTGGCACAAAAACGTGGGGAAGATGTCCAGATGAGAAAGAAGAGATAAAGAGAATGAGGCTGACTGCCATTTTATTAGGCAATGGATATAGAACTCTAGTTGAAAAGGGTTACCAGATTCCAAAAATACATAAATATAGAGAAAGGAATAGCTGTGTTTTGATGAATAAACATAGTTTCAAAAGGAATCAGAATAACTGAGCTATTGTTTATTACATTCTTAATGCAGGCAATCCCAGAGGGACAGTTGGTTTGAGTGGCATTGGAATGAGTTGCATCAATATGTAGTATTTCAGTTAAGAAGGGATACTGAAGTGCTGATGTTTTACACAGTAGCTGGGAAGATGAGGATATATTTTAGGAGGGCACTGACTAAGTCCACCAATAAGGCATTATTCAGTATATTGGGTACAAACACATGACTTTGGAATTCTGTGAGATACCAAATTCGATTTCTCCATTATGGAGATGGGAGGAAGGAGTGGAAGAAAAAAAGAGAACAATTTCTGGGAAAGTAGAAGGAGAAATAGTTCTGTGTAATATTGTAGAGCAAGGCGGTCTCATGTAAATATTCCTCGTTTTCATTATATGCAAAGCCCTGCTAAAAGCTTTATAATTTATTTTATTTTTATCCTATAAATTTTTTGTGAGATTAAGACTATATGGCTGAAAGGTTCACACATCAAGTATAGATTAAGTGAATGTATAAAAGAAAACTAAAATCTGTAGGAATCATAGAACTTAACACCAGAGTTTGGGGTCTGTGGTTGGTACAAGCCTACACATTTTGTATGTTGTCCTATGAAGTCAGTGGTATTATCTCTAATTTTTTAAAAGAAGGAAATAAAATTTTAGTGATATTAAACAACTTCTTCAGCATACTAAGGGAAGTTGGGGTTAGAGAAATAAAAGTTCCTACTTTTATTTTGTATTTTTTCAGCTATAAGTGTTATCTTTAGACATTAAGTTAAATAAAAGTAACCCCAACTTATGAATTCAGGGATGTATTGTACTCCATAAGGAGTACTGATTTTTATAACCCATGGGCTTCACAAGGGGTTCAGTTTAGACTACAGGGCCGAGTAAGAAGTAAGTAGCTATCAACTGTTCTTCTTTTTTTTTTTTAAACACATTATAGAAATTTTAATTTCCATTGAAAGCAATGGTTTACATGGTATGTTGCCTTTTGTTAAACCATGATTTCCTCTTATTATATGCTCTGGATGTATTCCAGATAGTTGAATGTAATCTTTTGATGCTTACTTTTTATACAAGCAGGTAGTCTAGCATAAGATCATCCCTTTTTAAAACTTTTTTTTTGCTGATTATGAATATGTATATAATGCATTCTCTTTACTCTTATTTCCCATCTTCTCTTATTTCCCTCCCACCTCTAACATCCTCCCCCATCCATTGTTGGTTTGGAACTATCCATTAGATGCTAGCAGGTTCACTGGTGGGAACACAACTGAAGACAACTCCATCCCTCTATTATTTCTTAGATGCCCATTTGTTTCTAATGAAAGACAATCTGCTGTTTGTTTTGTTTTTGTGTTATGGTGAAAGCAGTTCATTTTTTAATTTTGTATCCTGTTATTTTGCTGAAAGTTTAATAGCTTCTGTAAGTTTTCTGATCTACTTATTACTTTTTTAATATTTAGAACTAAATAATGGGCAAACAAAGAGACTTTGACTTAGTTTCTTACATGTTTCCTTGTTATATTATTGCTTGAACTTAAGAGTTTGCACACTCTATTGAATAGGAATGGCAACAGTGTAAATAAAGCCCCATCATGCTCCTATTTTAATACAATTGCTCATTTTTTTCTCTATTTAGCATGTTCTTAGTATGAGTTTTTCATATGTCACCTTTATTTTGTTGCTGTATGTTGCCAAGGAACACCTAGGCTTGAAAGGGGTTCTGTGAGAAGAAGTGTCTGGGAGTAATGAAAACAAATAACTCAAAGTCAAATCGTGGCTTCAAGCTAGTGGACTATCCTCTGCTCCAGACAGCTTTCCAGCCTGTTTTCTTTCTGTTCTGCTTCTGCTTTCTGTTCTGTTCTCTGATCTTCTCTCTCTGGAGATCTCCAGACAGCTCTTTACATTCTGCTCAAGACAGTTTTTCAAGCAGTTCTCTCTTGCTATTCTAAAACATTTTCTGAATAGCTCATCTCTTGCAGATCATAAGCACAGACTTTTATTTTACAAATCAATCCAGTTTCTTACTCCAGGTTTTCTTTTTATTATTCTATGAATCAGCATCCTGTGACCCCAGCCCTTAATTCTTAGGAAACTGTAAGCACACATTCTCTTTTAACATTGCAAAAGAATTCAGAGATCTGTCTGCCTCTGTTAAGCACAGACAATAAGCTATCTGGGTGGGACCCTGTCTTGAAATTATCATCCCTACCATGCCTGGGCCTTGACTTACTGTGTCCCAGGCTGACATTGAACTCAGAAATCTGCCTGCGTTTGTATTTGCCTGTCTTTGTATCTTTCAGACAGGCTTTTTTTTTTTAATTTTTTTTTTTTAATCTTTCTGACAGGCTTGCTCATAGGATAGCTGCCTTCTTTTCTTTTAGATCTCCAAGGCTCTTTATACAATTCATATTGCATTCTTATATTTTTGAATAGTTGAGAAATTATGTATTTTTAAACTCATGGTTTTAGAATTCTTTTATGCAACTTTAAGGGCTGTGCTGAAGGTCCCAGCATTTACCATTTTGCTAAGACATTAGCCAGTGTCCTTTGAGCCTTAGTTTAAGCATTCCACATGGACAACGAAATCTGAAGATGCTTAGGTCTTTTCTCTAAAATGGCAATGTACTTGTATAAGTGTATACTTTCCAAGCCTCTCATTGTATAGCTTAGTGTCTCTAAGTATCTCTTGATGATTTTCAATGTCTGATGACATACAAAAGGTATGTAAATAGTTACATTTATTGGATGATAATAAGTGTCCATACATGTTCATGGTTTATACACTTATAGATTGTGTTTGATTATCAGTTGAGTGAATGCTCAGATGCATGTTTCTCACACGTGGAATGCAAACTGTATGATCAAATAAAGTGTACGTATCCTGAGGAATCCTTAATGGAAAGTGTGATGCTTACCTTTGGAGGTAGTTAAAATGAGATTTTAGAAACTGTGTAATGGTCTAGAGGAAAATTAACTGTAGTGTTTTCAAAAGCATTTTTATTTGTTTGGGTAGAATATACGCTTCATTTCTTAAATTTTATTTTTATTATTTTAAATTGTGTATATACTTTTTAGTGGTAGGCAGTATGTTACATCAGTGCAGCTTAGGAGACAGTGTCATTGGATTCCATTACAGAAAAAGTTACAGAAGGTTGTGAGCCACTGGACATGGGTGTTGGGAATTGAACTTGGCAAGTGAAGTACATACTAATAACCTTTTTAACTGCTGATTCACTGCTACAACTCCTACCTGCTAATTTCTACTTGGTTCTCATGGTCGATTTAAGATAATCTCTTCTTAAAAACCAATTAAAAAAGTCATTTCCTAAAAAAAAAATCTCGAGGTCTTTTAAAAGAGAATCTTTAGTTTGCTAAAAATTAGTCAAATCAAACAAAAAAATCAATAACAACTCCCCCAAACTGCACCTAAATATAAAGCCTCAATAATTTTTATACAAGTGGCTATGACAAGTGTCTGTTAGACTTAACACAATACTTCTCTGTTGTTGATAGGTACACACTGGTGGATATTTTGCGTGCCATCTTACTTTCTTTAGAAGCCATGATTGAAGATCCAGAGCTTCAAGTAAATGGGTTTGTTTTGATCATAGACTGGAGTAATTTTACTTTCAAGCAAGCTTCTAAGCTTACACCAAGCATGCTGCGACTTGCAATTGAAGGTCTTCAGGTAAGGGTACACCACTGCTATTGTTTCTTCTCCTGTATGCTGCTTGCCTTATATGTTAGAATATTGGATATCTTATGAAATAATAATATCCCCAAACCAAAGGTTATAGATTTTTAGTACAAGTTATAAAAGAAATAATTAAATAAGGATCAAACAAACACAGAGAATACAGGATGTGAGTCTTCTAATAAAGAAGGTCTGTGATTTCTTGGAGGAGCCTGATTTATGTGGACACATAAGTGCTGAAAGATGTTTTTATGCACTTAGTAAAGATTGTCATCATGTTATTTACTCACTGATTTCTATGCCCAAAGAGTTGACTGCAGACTGAACTTTGGTTTTGTTGTTCATATGGACACATCTTATTTTGTAAACACGCTTTCTCTCACCTTCTGATTGGTTTATTAAAAAGCTGATGGCCTGTAACAAAGGCCAGAATAGAAGGTGGAACTTATGAGAAGAAATAAGAACTCTGGGAGTCAGGCATGGGAGGTTTTGGCAGCCAAACATAGAAGTAGCAGCAGGCCAGCAAGGAAGGAGATATAATTAACCAGCCATGTGGCATGGCTTAGATTAGTATAAATGGGATAATTGAGTTACAAGCAAATGAGAAACAATGCCTAGTTATAAGGTCAAAGCTTATAAATAAGTATAGTCTCTATGTCATTATTTGGGAATTGAGGTGGTCATAGAAAAGCCTATAGTTACACATAAGTATAAGGGTTAAATGGAGATTTTTGTCTTGATACATGGAACATACAACTTTAAATTTTTGGTTTTGATGTAGTAATATTTAGAATTGTGTGTTGTTGATGTTATTTCATTTTTGTTTTTTGTTATGTTAGCAAATTAACAAAATTTTGTTTAGTGACTATTAAACTAGGGAATTTGAGGTTGAATCATGCTAACTAAAATTCATCAAAGACTCTCCTGCTCTTTAAGGTATAAAAATATTTGATTTAAAACATTTCTTTAGACATAATTAGCTATTGATTTTTTTCTTTTCATTGGTAAACAGGGGCTATGATATACAATTTATACAATAATGGTGCACCTTCCTTGGGAATACTATTTAACTTTCTAGGAATTATAAGTTGGAAAATAAATCATTATACATGCATAATCTTGCTCTTGGTAAGGGTTTTCTTTTTTAACTTTTAGGGTGTCCTATTGCTCTCTTTCTTTCTACTGTATTCTACTTGCATAATTTGTAGAACTGGTTTTTGAGTTGGAACATTTGTAAGTTCACTAAAATGATATTATTGATATTTATTTCATGTAGCCCCAACACACATTCTTGACATACTCAGGTTAAGATTTTATCAATCAGATAAAATCTTTATTTTAAAATAACAAAGTATAACTTAATGTTCCCTAATGAAAGATGCTATACTTTCTATAAAGCAAAATAATCTATATCTCATTTGACTTTTCTGGTGTCTGCAGGCAGTTAAATTGAAGACCACTTACCTTTTAACAATGGGTGCCTCCTCTCTGCCTCAGGACACCTTAACCAAATTTAATTCAAGTTTGTGGCCTGACTTTGTACAGATTTAGACAAACCAATCTTCTTCACAGAGGTTTATCCTAAAGCAAGAGTCCTGACTTGCCCTTGGTGAGTCAGGCTTGCCACTGTCTTATCTGTTTATTACTCTCCAGAGACTGTTAATAAGAACTGAGAGAGGACAAGTATAATGCATGCTCTTCAGTGTGCCTACCGTGCAAGTGTTCTTCAACTTGCAAATAAAACTGGTTATCCCCAACTGCCACATTACACAGAATGATCACTTCCCCCAATTCTTATTTCTCTTTAGCATGGGGCTCATTTTTATTTGTATGGAAGCTGGGGTAGGCCTTCAGTTATGGGAACGATGGGGAACTCATATGACATTCAACATGTGTTAGATGGTAACCCCTTTAGTAACTTCATAAGTTATTGCTGAAAAACAAACAGCATAGGGTTTTGAGGGAAGTTCTCATTTTTGTGACTATTGTCAGAACTTTAAGTGCTTTAAGTGCTTGGTGTGAACCCAGTAGGAATTGCATACTAAATTATCATATTAAAACTGTGTTTGTGGCTAGAGAGAATGATCTCCAATTCCTACACATGTTTCTACTGTACATATAGGACTTCCTTCTCGTCATTTTTTATAGGATTTTCATCCACCCTTTTTCTCCAAACTATAGATTCTGTAAGCAGGCCTAAAATATCCTGATTCACAACTGTATTAAAGTAACAGAAGTTTTAAAAGAGGGGACTTCTTGAGAATGTGTTTGACACCCTGTATAAGTTTCTACTCTATTGCTGAGATAAAACACCATGACATATAAGAGAAATAATTTATATGGCTTGTAGTCCCAGTGGGTTAAATGTCTCTGATGAAAGAGTGGAGGCAATGTGACTTGAGCAGAAAGTTGAGAACTCATAACTTGAACCACAAGCTCAAGAAGAGAGAGTGAGAAAATGATATTGTGAGTCTTTAAACTCTCAAGAAAGTCTGACTCCCTGGTGACACACCTCCTCCTAAAAGACAACACACCTCTAAACATAACCAAATGAGCAACCAAGATCAAATATTCAGATATCTGAGCCTCCAGGAGGGGCTGTGGGAAAATCTCATTAGAACTAGTACATGAGGTACTGAGTTTTAACTTCAAATTATCTTCAGTCCTAATTGATTGCTTCTTGCATCTGTGTCTGTATCCTAAGATTTCTAAAAGTTTTTCACTGTGACACAACTGGGCTTATGGTTGATTAATAGATAACTGTTATTGAAGTAACAGAATCCAACTTTTAAAATTAAGTCTCTAGTTAAGCTTGCATTTACTATCTAGGGAAAAAACTATTACTGTGCATTGCAATATATTCAAATAGGTTGTTTTTATATCAGAAATAAGACTACCACTACTTACAAAACAGTAAGCCCCACCAACTAAATCAATTACTGCCATCAAGAAATTTAAACTTAGCAACAGTATACTGCAATTCTGTTATAATGTGACTTTTACTTAGATGAATATAAATAATAGTCTAATATGTTGAATTAGAAATAAAAATGCATTCCAGTAAGCCCAATGGACAACGGGACATTTATTTTAATGCCATTTAATTAATAGATGTCATTGTTTTGAAGAGGGCCTGTTTCCCTCGTTCTTAAGTCATCTGTACAATATGTCATTATATCACCTGCTCACATTTTCCCCTGAAACATACTATTTTGAGTGACCTGAATAGAGTTAAGATCTCATACCTACTTTATAAAGATGCATGGAAATAGCATAGGTCCACATGTGGTCATAGGACAAGGTCAACTAAGAGAGTTTAAGAAGGGTGGATACAGGATATGCTCAGGAACCAAACGTAACTAGATCCAGATGGCCACCCTGCCACACATCAGGTACTTGTGAAATTACATACCTTGCTTGAATCTCACTCTAGGTCTTTACACCAATTTAAAGTGTTATTATGCACCTAGCAGGTGATATCTTAGCTAAAGTCAGTGTGGGTCAGCTGAGTTTTCAGGTAACATTTTTTTTTTTTTTTTTTTTTTTTAGTAATGAGTGTGTACTATTTCCTTTTTGAGAAGTTTGAGAATCGAGAAATTCAGTAATTCCTCAATCTGAGAAGCCCTAGTTGATTGACATTGGGAATCTAAATAGTCTTTTTCCTCACCTTGGGTTTTATTTTGCATATAAATAATTACATCTTTTAATGTTTCTTCCCTGTGGTTAGACAGCTTCTATGTAATTTCACAGTGGATATAAAATAAAATACTATTTCAATTGGAAAGCCAGAAAAAAAAAGAGTGAGATGATTTACCTTGGAGCAGTTTAGTATTTTGTTCTTTGATGAGGTGGGCAATCCAACCATAGCTGAAAAGGTGGTGTTTGTGAAGATAATGTTGGCTTGGAAGATTGTGCAAAACGTTGCTAAAGGGACAAGGACAAGAAGGGACTTTTAGGAAAAGGATATCCAGAAAATACTTTGGACAGCACGGAACTAGAGAAAATTGGAAGTATCTAGTGACTTCATTCTGATGTGGCTGCAATAAGAAGTGAATTGACATAGCCAAGCTCAGGAAAACAGGCTAAGGTTTGGATCGCTGGGATAGAAGACCTCAAGCTAGGCCATTTGTCCAGAAGACTCTTTTGGCTCTCTAGACAGAAGGGAATTGGGTCAAAGGAATGTCTTAATCAGTTTTCTGCTTTGGGAAGATTTTCTGAGTAAGAGAAGAAATGTGAGGCAAAGAATAAGAAACCAGATCCTGAGAAATCCCAGTCTATGCCTTAGTCAATCAAGTTCATTCACTGCATTGAGTTTAAGGCATTTAGCCACATTTTCTCCGCTGTTTTGTAGTGTTGAGTCCAGGTTATCTGAGTCTGGACATCAATGCCTTTTCCAAGAGTTGCTTTCTGTTGTTATTGTTGACTCCTGGATTGATTCTAAGAGATATCAGGTAGCTTAAAGTTACCTCCAATCCTCACATTTAAATAGAAGTGAAACGTCCATCATATGAATATTGATTCATTTCTAATTAAGTCACAAATGACTGCCCTATATTTTTCTAATTTGTTGATGTTCACTGGAAGATCTGCTGTCTGTTCTCTAGTAAATAACCTCCTTGATTGCCTATTGACTAATTTCTCTTGGACATAGCATGCAGATGAAGGGATAGACATATTTTGTTAGTATCCAAGAGACCATTTATAAATGCAACTATTACACTAACAAGACATTTAGTTTTAGTACAAAAGGGGTTTTGTATGCTTTGTCTGTAAAAAATAACAAATGTTTTCAAAACACAAAAGGCATAAAATATTTTGCCCAACACAGTGCCTTTTCTTCATAGATAATGGGCACTATTAGCTCTGTTTGAAGGAAGAATACATTCAGGTTTCTTTGGAGAGAAAGAAAAGACAAAATTGTCTTGCCACTTATGAGAATTTAATTGATTAGTGTTGTCATAGAAACAGGAAGTTTCATTGAAAATCAATATAAG